GTCAGGAATGACGTCAAGAATGAATCGTCTCCAGACAAGTGGTTCGCATTTCACTTGGTGTAGTTGAGGTTCTCGTCTGAACGGGTCCCCGGAGACCCCTGCCCCCTCACAGTGAATTCTGCACCTGGGAGGGATGGGAGCCTGCAGCTCTGGCAGTAGTGCCCACTCCTGCCCACCAGCCCCACTGTGTCTCCCTCGGGCGCTGCTGCCTTAGTCCCTGGGCCTGGGCCACCTCCCCGCCCCGCGCTAGCCAGTGGAGACGTGTGCCTGCAGCCTCTCACACCCTAGGGTGAGCTCTCGGCCCACATGGGCGACCTTCCCCCCAATTGTGGGGCTCCCCGAGGCGGGGAAGATGCCGCCCCGCCCCTTCTCCAGGGGCTCTACAGTAGTAAGGGAAAATGCAGACCCTGCAGTGGCCCTGGGGACCAGAGGTCTGTCCACCCCCAGAGCCAGGGACCCGAAGGAGGGAGCTCTCCTTCCCCTGCCCACACCCAGCAGTCTGCCTGCCCTTTCCTGAGGTGCCCCAGTCCCAGATGCTCCCTTCCGGGCAGCTGCTGAACCCCATTCCCCATCTCCAAGCTGCTGGAAGGGGCCCGAGAGGGTGCCCCCTGCACAGAGACCCCTATCCCTTCTGGAAGGACGGAGGAGGAGCCCGCCGGGAGGCTGGGTGGGTCTTCCCCATGTGCCATGCAGAGTGGCAGAGAAGAGACCATATCCTGGTGCCAGCCCCAGGGAGGGGGGTGGGAGGGTGTCAGTCCGCAGCTGGGGGACCCTTCCCATCCCCTGTGTCATCTCTGGATCTGGGGAGTCGAGGGCCTGGGAGTCCCAGCCCTGGCCGGTCCTCCGCAGGGAAATGCCATTTCATGCCCGCCGTCTCGACGCCAGGCCACGGCTCAGCTGATGTCAGGGGCAGGAGAGAGGAGCTAAAAATAGCTGCTCTGCACCCCCCACGCTCCCACGGCCGTGGCCGCAGCTCAGCCCGCCTGGGGTGGGAGCAGCCAGCCCAGGTCTTCTGGGGCCTGCCAGGCTGTAGAAGGTTCTGGAGCTCACACTCAGGGCTGGGGTCCCTGGGCTGTGTGGGTGGACGCACACTTCATGTGGGCTGGGCGGCTCTGGGGGGTCTGCAGATGGGAGCTGGGCCGCAAGGTTTCTGTATAGCTGGGCAGCGGGGACTCTGGTGCCTGGCCGTGTCCTGGCTCCTGGGATGGGCTGAGACCACCGGGCAGGGGCCGAATGCATGTCCCCTTGGGCTGCATGTCTGCTCTGGCTGGGGGGCAGCTAGCTGGGGGGGAGGTCTGTGCGTTCAGTCATTGGAGGGTCAGAGAGATGGGAGAGAGGAGAGGGTCGCCTTTAACCCGACTGCTCATGAACTGACGCCCGACACCACATTGGGTCTCCTGGGTACCACCAGGAGTGATGCCTGAGCACAGTCAGGGGTCAGCACTGAGCACTGCCAGGTGTGGCGGAGACCCCACGCCCCAATCTGTCATGCTGAGGGTGTGATGCCCGTCTCCGCAGAAACCATCCACGTCACTTGTAAACGTCACCAAGTCGAAGGTTCCCCACAGGTGAGTGGGGTGCAGTAGGGGCCAAGGAGACACCGAGTGTGGGGAAGGGGCCGTGCGGGGCTGCTCAGTCAGTCCAGTGGCCCTTGGCCTCCCAGCTCGCTTTAGCCACAGCTCCTCAGCTGCAGAATGGGCAAATGGGCCCACATGGCGGGCTGCTGACAGGTCCGTGAGCAAAGGGTGGGGGTGCGGAAAACGCGGGGTGCCCCGTAAGATGTATCCTTTCCAAGTGCTGCTGAGACTACTCCAAGACCTGGGGGCTCCAGAGTGCTTCGTGGGACTCTGTGGGACTCTGTGGGAATCTGGGACTCCATGGGACTCTGTGGGACTCTCTGGGGCTCCGTGGGGCTCTGGGACTTTGTAGGACTCTGGGGCTCCGTGGGATTCTGTGGGACTTTGGGGCTCTATGGGACTCTGGGGGACTCTGGGGTTCCGTGGGACTCTGGGGCTTCGTGAGACTCCGTGGGACTCTGTGGGACTCCGGGGCTCCGTGGGACTCTGCTGTTTCTATATTGGGGCCAAGCACGAGACTTGGGGTCTGGGGACATTAGAGCTGTAGCGTGCACCCCCTCTCCCCCAGGATTCCTGGCACATGGCTCTGTCAGGCAGCAAGGGGACAGTGCTCGCACAGAGGTGGGCAGTGCCAGGATGTTGCATGTGTGCAGAGGGCTGGTGGGGCTGCGTCTCAGCTGACCCCACATTGTCCGGAATGGGACTGGCCACCGTGTGTGCACCCAGTGTGGGCACACACAGCGTGGACACGGCTGCCTGTGGCGGCCAGAGATATGGCTGGTGGCTTGAGTGGGTGAAAGCTTCAGGGGGCTCCATAGGTGGCCAGGAGAACATGGGACGGGGTGGCTTTCAATGGCAGCCCTCAGGTCTTTCTGGAAAGATCCAGTGCAGTAGGGGGGGACCCTGCCTAGGGCCACAGGAGGGGGGGAGGCACCCTGGAGATTGGCCCACATAGGGTGCCTGGGCTCCGGGCATGAGGTCCAGGCCCCCAATCTCAGCCAGTGTCCACTTGGCCCAGACCCTGTGGCTCCCCTGCCACCTGCCTGTGACCAGCTGGATGACAGGGGTGTGACGAGGCTGCCTTTGACTCCTGGGAAGAATGTGCCGCCCCTGGGATGCACCCCCACATGCTGGGCTGCCAGTTCTCTCTCTCTTTTTTTTTTTTTAGTGAAACACCATGAGGTACTGTTGTAGACTTACAAATTTTTGTGCTTGGATTTCAATTATACAATGATCAAATACCCATCCCTCCACCAATGTGCATTTTCCACCACCACGGGTCCCAGTATCCCTCCCACCCCCCATCCCACCCTGCCTTTGTTGGGCTGCCAGTTCCGAGTGCTGCATGGAGTCCTGACCATGGGGCCCTGCAGGCCCACAGGGGCCCCTGTTCCAGCCTGGCCCAAACCTCTTTCTAGTGGGAGCTGGGGCCAGAGCCGTCCATTGTGTGACTCTGGGGAAACCTCCCAGCATCTCTGAGCCTCTAAGGGGACTGTGTGCTCATAGGGCCCCTAGCCAGCTGGTCACTAAATGGGGGGCCTGGGGGAGAAGCAGCAGGATGGGCAGGGGGAAGATGGGAGAGTGGCACCCAGGGGTCAGGATGGGCGCTGGGGCAGCAGGGCAGGAGGGAGGAGAGCCAGGGGCTTTCCCGAGCACGAGGGTCAGGCAAAGGAAAGTCTGGGCCACAAGCCCGCCCCTTGCCCGGGCTCAGCAGGGGAAACAGGCATGTTGGTTCACCTCCGGGCCGGTCAGTCTGAGACGGGAGGGCGCTGGATCAGTCGGGGAAGATGGTTTCACGCACAGCGGGGGTCGCGGTGCCCTCCCGTGACTGTGACTGAGGGGTGGCCTGGGGGGGGGAATCCCGCCGCCTCGCTGTGCCCCTCCCTCGACACCCACCCGGCCCGCGAACCCGGGGGCAGGCGCGCGGGGCTGGGGCTTGGGGGGGTGGTCCCTTCTCGGGCAGAATGGCTTTCCAGAACCTGCCAGGCCCGGGGCAGCTGTGCGCAGGGGCGGCTCCTGCGGGCGCGGTGCCGTGGCTCCCGTGGGGGCACCTGCGCCCCGCGCGCCCCCCCCCCCCCCCCCGCGCCCCGCGCGCCCCCCGCTGCCGCAGAGGCCGGAGGCGGCCGGCAGGGATGAGATCACCGCGATCCGCTCGCCGGGGCTCGGGCGCCCTCGCGTGGCCACGGCCGGGCTGCGGGGCTGGGCGGGCGCACCGGCCGGGGCCGGTCGGAGAGGGCCGGAGAGGGCCAGGGGGGCGCACGGGCCGGGGCGGGCCAGGCGGGCCAGGGGGGTGCACGGGCCGGGGCGGGCCAGGCGGGCCAGGCGGGTCAGGCGGGCCAGGGGGGCGCCCGGGCCGGGAAGAGTCGGGGTGGGCCAGGAGGGGCGCACGCAGCCAGGCGGGGCCGAGAGGGGCCGGGGTCGGGGCCCACGCGGCGCTGCTGGGGGACGAAGGAAGGGACCGGCCGGAGCCCTCTGAGGCTCACGGCCTCTGCGTCCTGGCGGCACCCCGTTTCTTCGGGGCTGGGCTCCTGCCGCACCCCGTGACCTGGGCCTTCCTGAGCCCTGGCCATAGGGCACCGGTATAGGGTCACACTTGGCGTTTGTGGGAGTGGGGGGGCGCGCAGGCCGTTCAGGTTTGCCACGGTCACCGAGCCCCACCACAGCCCGCCCAGGCAGGAGAGTCTGTGGCCAGAGAGAGCCCCTGAGCGGGCATCTGTGTGGTCTGGACTCACGTGGGTTTGTCTGGCTTCCTCGCATGGAACTCTGAATTTCAGGGGTCACGTCTGTCCTCTGAGACCCCCGGGTCCAAATCCCCACCGAGCAGGGAAGGCTGGTGCATTCCCCCTGCAGCTCGGCCTGCCCGCACCTGCCCAGTCTCCCTCAGCCCAGTAATTGGCCAGTAGGAGGTCCTTGCCCTTCAAGGCCCGTCCCCTCCACTGAGCAGGCTGGGAGGGGCCTGGGGCCACACCTGGACTGAGGCAGCAGACAGCCGTGGGTCCCCTGTGTGTGCGTGGCAGGTGGTTACCTAGCCATGACCCAGCCCACCATGGCCATGTCGCATGGCCTGGCCAGCTGTCATGGGCACGATTCACTCCCAGCAAAGGGCTCACTTAGCCCGGGGCCCTTCCCGGACCCCATCCTGCAGGGGATACCCCCAATAGACGCATGACTGGGTCAGCTGCCCCTGAGCTCTCGGCAGCCTGCGAGCCTCTAGTCCATGCCCACTGCACCAATGGGCAGAGCGAGGCCAGGAGGGGACAGGTAGTCTCTGGTTTCTTGGACTGTTTCCTGGCCTCAGGAGAAATTTCCAGAACCTGTGCCAGCGGTCCCAGATGTCAGCATGCAGGGGGCCCTGGAGCTGGGGGGATGGTGGACCCGGTGCAGCTTTCCCACCCACACTCTCTTCTGTCCCCCTGCCGGCAGGTATATCCGCACCATGTACCTGGGCATCCAGAGCCAGCGGCAGAAGGAGCACCAGCGACGCTTCTACTGGGCGATGATGTACGAGTACGCGGATGTGAACATGCTGCGCCTCCTGGAGACCTTCCTGGAGAGCGCCCCGCAGCTGGTGCTACAGCTCTGCATCATGGTCCAGAGGAACAGTGCCGAGACGCTGCCCTGTGAGTGCCCGCGCCCGAGTCCCAGCCCGGGGCCAGCACGCGCACCTTGCCCAGTACCCAGGGCCGGCGCGTGCCCCCTGCCCAGTACCCAGGGCCAGCCCGTGAGACCCGGTGACTCAGACCCCAGGGCCTGCACGCGCCTCTTGTCCTGGGCCCAGGGCTAGCCCGTGAGACCTGGTGACTCGGACTCCAGGGCCAGCACAGGCGCCCCCATGTCCCAGGCACAGCCCAGCGCTTGTAGCCGCATGCCTGGGCCCCGTGTCCTGCACCTCCCGCGTCACACCAGTTTCTTGGGTTTCTCCCCACCGTGAGGGCACCCAGCACCTGCCTGCACAGACCTACTTGTCCTATCGCAGAGCAGGGCTGGGGTTTCAGGCATCCCCAGCAATCGAGCTAGGGGAAGTGGCTGTCCCTGCACCTCTCTGTTGAGTCTCTGCTCACACACTCTGGCCCGGCTCCTGGCAAGGGAGGGAGGGGGACAATTTGCCCCAGTGCTCTGGTCCATAAACGCTGGCTGAGGAAACAGGGCAAAGCATCCCTGTTCTGCAGGTGGGGGGGGCTGGGGGTGGGCAGGCTCTGCCCAGCGCTTCGAGGCCATTGGGGGCATGCTCGGGTGCTCAGCAGGACATGTGGGCGCCGCGACCCCACTTTGCTGGCCAGAGGTTCCCCGAGGACCCCTCCACTGCCAGGGGCCTGGAGCTCCCGTCCCACTGATGAGGCGCACAAACCGAAGGACGTGGAGGGGACAGGGTGGAGGGTGATAAGAGCCCCCCACGGCAGACAGGTTGGCCCTGGAGGTCATGGCCTGGCTTCCCCACGACACCCACTCAGTGTCAGAGCAAGCAACAGGATCTGGGGCCCCCCGCGCTAGCAAGGCTGCAAGGCTGAGCATTTTGGCAGAAAGTGCTGTGTGGCATGGTCTGAAGAGTGGCACTGGGGCATAAGCCCCCAGAAACACAGGGCTGTGGGGGAGCGGGGCCACGTTGCCTAGCAACAGGACGTCTAAGGAGCAGGTGTTGGGCGAGCATGGTGCGTGGTGTCATGAGGCATCACAGGGTGTCACGGGACACTGCGGGACATCCTAGGACATCACGGGGCATCATGGGGAATCATGGAACATCAGGGGGCATCATGGCACTGCCGGCAATGCCCCAGCTGCTGGGACCATGTCTGAGTGTGTCTGCGCGTGTTGGGAGCATTAGTGCTAGCAGTCGTGGGTTGGAACCTGGTTCCACAGCATGTAAGCATGCATCGGGGAGTGAACTGAAAGACTAGTTTGGGGCCACTTCTAACTCCAGCACCCAGGAACCTGGGCTGTGAGCCAGTGAGTTGTAGTGGTTCCCCTGGGTTAAGAATGTTTTGAAGACGTAGAGTATTACAAATGTACAGAGAGTATGTATTGAGTGTATAGTGAGGACGTAGAGTATTAGCAAATGTATAGAGTATTATTGAGTGTGTATAGGGAGTACTAGAGAGGATGGAGAGTAGTGTTGAATAGAGAAAGACTGTTGCTCAGAGTACTGAGTACCGATAGAGTGTGTGTAGATAGTATTATTGAGTGTGTACAGAGTACGGATGACAAGCAGAGGGTACTATGGAGTGTGTATGTACAATATTACTGAGAGTATTGCTGAGTATACAGAGTATTACTGAGTATAGTGAGAGTATTGTTGAGTGTAGAATTTTATTGAATATATAGAGAATATGTATTGAGTTGTATAGATAGTATTAATAAAGTTGAGAGTATTGTGAACAGAGAGTATGTATTGAGTATATAAGCAGTGTATTGACTGTGTATACAGTACTGTTGAGTGTATAGTACATATATTGAGTATATATAAAGTATATATTATGTATTGTGCATAGAGAATACATATTGAGCGTGTAGAGTATTGTGTACAGTGTATATTGAGCATACACTATGTACTGCTACAGAGAGTATATTTTGAGTATGTATACAATGCTACTGTGTGTAGAGTATGATTGTGTACAGTGTGTATATTGAGGATACAGAGAGTGTGAGTAAAGATTACGGAGTCTGTATGGTGTGTGTATAGAGTGTGTATGGGGTGTGTATAGAGTATGTATGGAGTGTATTGAGTATTATAGGTTATGTATAGAGTATGTATGGCATGTGCATAGAGTACAGATAGAGTGTATAGAGTGTGTATGGAGTGTATATAGAGTATGTATAGAGTGTATGGAGTGAATAGAGTGTATAGAGTGTGTATGGGGTGTATAGTGTGTATGGAGTGTATAGAGTGTATGGAGTATATGGAGTGTGCAAGGAGTGTATAGGGTGTATAGAGTTTATAAAGTGTGTTGAATGTATAGAGTGTGTATGGAGTGTATAGTGTGAATGGAGTGTATAGAGTGTGTTGGAGTATATGGAGTGTGTGCGGAGTGTATAGAGTGGGGTGTATAGTGTATATAGAGTGTATGGGGTGTATAGTGTGTATAGAGTGTATAGAGTGTGTGTGGAGTGTATAGAGTGTGTGGAGTGTATGGAATGTGTGTGGAGTGTATATGGAGTGTATTGTGTATCCCGAGTACCTCTGAGTGTGTGGAGTGTTACTGGTGTACGGAAGGTAGTATGAGATTCCAGGGATATCTGGAGTGGAACTAGAGTGGCTGTTTAGTATGTGTCTGTGCTTGGAGCTGCTGATAATACACCTGCTCCCCAGGCCCTGGCCACTCTGTTGCGTACTAGAGAAGCCGGAGAGTGGGGTCGAGGTGAATGTCCACAACGGACATGGACCGCCAAGTGCCACAGCTTTCTCGAGGGGCCTCTTTCGTCCCTCTGCGGTCACTCCTCAGCCTCTCTCTGTCTTCACATCTCAGGGTGCTGTGCCCTGAGATGTGTGCTTCTCATGCAGCACTCTTAGCGTGGAAACACCTGTTACCTGTCATCCTGGACTGCAGGGGGGAGTGCCCAGCCCGCAGAGTCTCGGTTGGCCTCAGTCCTGTCCAGATTACCCACCCCCCCTTTGTCTCCTGATGAAAGCAACTTACTGGAACTTTCCATGGCTGTGGCCATCCCCTTGCACTGGCCTCTGTGAGCCTCACAGACGGCCAGCCGCACAGCTGACATCTGTTCTGAAATCAACTAAAGTTTGCTTCATCCACTGGCTGGGGACCACTGTCCGTGTGTGAGAAGGAGGCGGCCGGCTGGCCCCGGCCTTCCTTGTGTCCTTCCTGTGCAGGATTTGACCTTGCAGTGGGCAGGGCTGGTGCCATTCCCTGGTTGCTTCGCCTCAGAGGGGAGGTAGTCCAGCCCAGGTTCTCTCCTCGCAGACACCCCAAGGTCCCACCGCCCTGCCATATCCTCTGGGTCATGCCCTGCTCAGGGAGAAATCCAGGCCCCAGCTCTGCAGTCAGACCACAGGTTTGCAGCCAGGCTTGGGGCCGTGGAGGGGGAGGGGAGGCGGCACCTGGGTAGGGTTAGACCCAGCTGGCAGTGCTCAGGGCTGACTCCAGGCGGGTCCCTCAGGGCCCGGGAGAAGGCCACCCTTGTCTTGGGGTATGGGAGCCACCCTGCAGGGCCTCTCAGGCCAGCTCGAGATCTGCCAGTTGGGTGGTGGTTGTTGGGCCAGAGGAAATGGTGGGGATGATGATTCATTTTAGGGGTCTGTGATTTGGAATGAGGGGATGGTGCCTGTCCCAGCCACTGAGCCAAGTTCCGTGGCTGTCCCTTGGCTTTGCATGGAAGAGGGTCCACACCAATTGCTGCCCTGGGGTGCGTGCAGCGGGGTACGGAGAAACAAAAGAGAGCCAAAGAGAGCATCAGAAAGGCACCCAGGGCCTGGCGGGGGCTCTCAGCTCTGCAGTCCCAGGCCCAGGCGTTGTGGAGCCACGTGTCCATCTGAATGTGGAGGGACCTGGTGGGGTTCCAGCTCTCAGCGTGGTGGTCTGGGATGGACCGACCACACAGCTGCTCTGAGTCTTCAGGGCAGGAAGGGATGGTGGGTATCGGATGTGGGTGCCTGAGAGGGCGGTGCTCCGAGGGGTGCAGGCTGTCTGCACCCTGGGGTCTGGGCGCCGCCGTGAGGGGACTTTGGGGCCTACAGAAAGGTGTGAGCTGGAAGTGGCCGGGCCGTGTAAGCGCCAGGCAAGCCCTTCACAGGAGCCCGCGGTTTCCTCTGAGCCGCGTGGCTGAGCACGGCTCCAGCTGGCACGCCCCAGCCACACGGACGCTCTCCCGGCTGTATTACAGTGTGCTCCTGGGCTGCTGGTGCAGCTTCTGTCCTGAGATTCAGCCCCTCTGGCCCCGGCCACCGCACAGAGCACGCTTCTGCATGGGACAGCTGCCGCCCTCATGCTGCGTGTCTGGGAAGCCGCGTGCCAGGACAGCCTTCGCCAGGCGCTCGCTTTTTTGTTATTGTTGCAGGGTGCTTGGGGGCCTCTGGTGGCAAGACTGGCCAGCTGTGTGGGCCCAACGGCTCAGGGCTGGGGACAGAGGTCATAAGGCTGGCACTTCAGCCCGAGGCACGGCGGCCCGACTTGAGCCAATGGGCTAGGAACCAGATTGGGGACAGGAGCGGATTCACTGGGAGCTTCCAACAGACCAGCAAGAGCTGAGGGCCAGAGCGCAGCTCCCGTGCAGTTTCCTGGACACTCCCCAGTGTCCCCCGGGGCATCCGCACAGGTCGAAGGCCCATGTCTGAACCCACGTGGGGCCTCAGTCATTCCCGGTGGGGAGGCCGACCCAGAATCAGTGGAAGGTCTGAGAGTTTTGTGCTCTCCATGCAGTGCTCAGTGACTGGCCACACAGGACCAGTGGCCAGCATGCAGCCGCACCCCTGACAGGCTCCGGGGGCAAAAGGAAGACGCGCCCAGCACAACCTGCTCCTGCTTCTCCATCTCCTCCTGAGGTGCCCCCTGAGAAGCACAGCTCCCAGGAGACCCTGGCCCACCCCGGTCCCAACTTGGGGGCCCGATGCTGCACCAGCCGACTTGGCGGTGGTAGCCCGCCCCCCAAGGAGAGCCAGTGTAGCCGTGGACAGCGGCCACCAGGCCCTGCTCAGCTCCCTCCCGTCACCAGCAGGCGCTGGCTGCAAAGCCATGCCCTCGTGCCCAGAGTGTGGCCGGTTCCTGCTCTGCATCACATGTTCTCCAGAGCCCAAAGCACCCCACGGACACCACACTTGGTGGCCAGGAAAGACCATTGGTCTCTGTCCCTGAGGCCTCCAGCACCATCTTGACCAGAGACAGGAGGGAAGGGCTGGAGTGAGGCGGTGGCCTGGCCGTGTTTGCGGGCCGTTCCCTGGGTGCCCCTTTCCCGTCTCCCAGAATGCGGGGTCGGAGCAGGTGGTCCGTGTCGGGCCGGGGCCTGGGCGCACGGCAGCGCCTGACGGTGTGGCTGTGTCTCCGGCAGGTGTATCCTCTGTGACCTCCCTGATGTCCCTGGCGTGGGTGCTAGCGTCCTACCACAAGCTGCTGCGGGACTCCCGGGATGACAAGAAGAGCATGAGCTACCGGGGCGCCCTGGTGCAGCTCTTCTGGCGCCTCTTCACCATCTCCTCCCGGGTCATCTCCTTCGCCCTCTTCGCCTCCATCTTCCAGCTGTACTTCGGCATCTTCGTGGTGGTGCACTGGTGCGCCATGGCCTTCTGGATCATCCACGGCGGCACGGACTTCTGCATGTCCAAGTGGGAGGAGGTGCTCTTCAACATGGTGGTAGGGATCGTGTACGTTTTCTGCTGGTTTAACGTCAAGGAAGGGCGGACTCGATACCGAATGTTCGCCTACTACACCATAGTCTTGACCGAGAACGCGGCCTTGACGCTCCTTTGGTATTTTTACAGAAACCCGGAGACCACGGACTCCTTCGCGGTGCCGGCCCTGTGCTGTGTCTTTGTTAGCTTTGTGGCTGGGATGGCGCTGATGCTCTTATATTACGGCGTGCTGCATCCCATGGGGCCGCGGGCTAAGATCTTTGCCAGCTCCTGTTGTGCCGAGCTGCTCTGGGGCATCCCTCTGCCCCCTGATGTTGAGCCCATGGCGCCCCAGACCCCTGGGTACCGGGGGGCCCAGGTGACGCCCACCAGAGCCGTCACGGAACAACAGGAGGATGTCACGGCTGACACTTGCTTGCCCGTGTTCCAAGTGAGGCCCACGGAGCCCTCGACCCCGTCGGGGCGCCCTTACCACCCGGAAGGCCCCCTCATTAAGATTGACATGCCCAGAAAGAGGTACCCGGCCTGGGATGCCCACTTTGTAGACAGGCGGCTGAGAAGGACCATTAACATCCTGCAGTACGTGACGCCCACGGCGGTTGGCATCCGCTACCGGGACGGCCCGCTCCTCTACGAGCTGCTGCAGTACGAGTCCTCGCTCTGAGCCGCTGCCCGGGCCCCCTGGGGCGTCAGGTGCAGTCCGCGCTCTGAGCCCCAGGCCCCCGGGCCACAGGGGACGGCAGGTGTGGGTCAAGGTAGACGCCGCTTGCAAGAAATATAACCTCCCCTCCCCCCCACCCCCAGTCCACAGACTACCACCATCACCATCACCACCCACAGAAACGAAAGCAAAACAGAAAATTATCAGTCACCACCCCTTCAGATAAGCTTTCTTTCCAGTCACTGTATGTATACAAAGATATTCTCTATGTTTTGTAAGTGAGAACAAAAAGAAAATCTTCCTTTTGTTTTTTTACACACAAGAAGCAGTATTGACAAATCCCACAGTAGGTTCCTAGCGTGGAGAAGGAGGGGCAATCTCCACTCCAAAAGTAAAAACAACAACCAAGTTTTATACCTTACGCCCAGTGTAGACCATTCACGGGATTGGTGCTGATCGAAAGAACAAAAAACAAAACAAAACCTTCAACTGCCTTATGCCTGTAGGTGCTGAGTTTCATTACGTACTGTCAGGTTTTCTCATGCAAAATTCTTCTCCAGGACTTTTGCACCTGGAGAGGGAAAATCAAACTATCAAATGAAACAAATCGAAAGATGAAACAAAAACCAACCAACAAATAAAACGCAAAGCGTTATTTGATTGGTTTTATTATTACTACTATTATTTTTGGGTTTTTGGATTTTGTTTTTTGTTTTTTCCTATTTGATGATTTGTCTTGAGGAAAAAAAAATTACCAAAAGCAGAGGCATAGAAACCTCTCTCCCTTTTCGGCTGTTCTCTCCCCTCTCCTGGCCCCCACCCGCAACTTAGCAGCACCTTCCAGGAGCCAGTGAGCCTTTGGAAACTCAACTGGCTGGGCCAGCTTCTGGAAGGCTGACTGTGTGCCAGGATCAAATGCCCTAATAAGAATCACATTTGTTCCTTGGCAAGAAAAAAAAAAGTGCAAAACAGAACAATACAAAAAGCTGCCCTCCCAATTGGCTAAGAATAGGCAATTCTAAAGCAAATTAAGGGAGACTTCGACATTTGTCATCGCAGAGAGTCAGTAATAATAAAACTCAGCATAGTAGCGAGAGAGTCGCCACCAGGCTGGAGGCGGGACGCCGTCTGCCCCGTCGCTGAGGGCCGTGAAGGCGCACGTGGAAGGCCTCTTCTCTTTCCATTAGGTGGGAAGCCTTAAACTGAGCTGGAAAGAATTCTTCATTTTTTCATTTGTGCTTTTTAAAAATATTCACACAAAGAGGAAAATTAGGATATACACACACGTCAATTCTGATTTAAGTGTATATATATATATACACACATATATGTGTGTGTGTGTGTGTATATATATATATACACACACACATATGTATATGAAACCGCAAACCCGCCCGATCGTGATAACTGACCCATTTCAAAGACTGGTGCTCCTGTCTTTCACCATCGTGGTTGGCTGACAGTCATTCAGCTCACTTGGTGCATCTGGGTTGAGTGGGAAATCGTGTGTGCGTATGTGTGTGTGTGTGTGTGTGTGTCCGTGTGTGTGCAGGTGTGTGTGTGTGTGTGTGTGCGCACGTGTGTCTGCTGCAGAGTCTTGCCAGCAGCCTCCAAGACCGCTGCTGGACTGGCTCCGGCCACGGCGGCTGTGCGGTGCGGGGAGGGGCGCGCGGGGGGTGGTGCTTGGACTTGAACCCCTGCCCGGATGGGGGGCCAGCGGGCCACCCACCAGCCGCAGCTCTGGCCCTTCCAGGCCTGTCATCCTGGCGAAGGTGCGATTCCACCCTTTTTTCTCACGGTCTCAGTGGAATTCGGGGCCTTGTCACTCGTCTTCCCAGCATCCCTTCAGTGTTCTTTTCTCCCAAGCCTCGTTCTTCTCGGGACCATCTCTGTCTCGGACATTGTTGCTGCCCCATCGTCATCTCTGTACTTGGGCACACACACAAGCAAAAAAAAAACAAAAAAAAAAAAACAAAAAAAAAAAGAAAAAAAGAAAAACGGAAAAGAAAAAAAAAGATATATATACAAGTATATCTCTATACACACACACAATCTTTTTGCTGAAATACGGTCAGTCCTTGTGGTGTGTACGTGCGTTTCTTTTTCTCCTTAATTCCAGATGTAACTATTTCCGGTGCAAGCCCTCACTTTGGACTCTTTCTCAGAGCCCAGTTCAAACACTGGGCACTTTTGTTTGTTTTCTTCATGTTTGTGGGGTTTTCCTTTTCTTTTTCTTTTAAAGTATTATTCAGAGAGGCTCCTCCTGCCCTTCTGCTTATCTAACGCTGTAAAAACTAACAGAAAAAAAAAAAAAGGAAAGAGAAGAATCCGTTGGAAAGTTTGGGTTGCAAAACTGACCCCTCTTCCCCCCGGCTTCCCTTATTCAAACTCCCCCCCCTGCACCTCCCACCCCTGCGCCCTAGCTCCAGGAGGGGGGGCCGAGTGCCCACCCTGTGTCTGGGGGGTGGGGGTCCGAGCACTCCCAACGCCAGTCTGCCACCAAGGCTGCACACGGGTCCCTAGGGTCCCCAGGCTGCTGTGGAGAGTTCCTGCCACTGTGCTGCCCTTTTATGGTATAGCTCTGCTGCTCTGCTGAGGCTGGGATGTGAGGCCATCGGTGGGAGCAGGGGTGGGGGGCTGCCTAGCCTGGCTGAGTCCCTGTGCTCATCCTCTAACTCCCGTCCCCTGTACCTGGAGGTGTCCCCAGGTCCCTGAGGCCACTGGTGGTCACTTCTGAACCATGCGTCCTTCCTCCTCTCCCTTCTGGGCCAGCCACCTCGGCCTCCCCCTGCCTCTCAGGGCTCCTGGCTCTGTGTTCTGACTAGGTGTCCGCGTGTGCGCATCCAGGACAGGGGTCTGGCAGGGCTGCCTGGGGCTGAGGTGTGAGGCCAGCATGGGTGGGGACACTCAGGCAGCCGAATCGAGGGCCTTCCCCAGGACACCCCCAGGCTGGCTAGTTCTGCAAAGGGCCAGAGAAGGAGAAAGATGCCAGGAGAGGAGGTGTGGGTGGGCAGGAGCTGAGAATTTCAACTTCACAGGTGAGGGCTGCCTCTGGAGGGCCCCTGCTTCCAGGAAACCCCTGTCCACCCCTTCCCACCACCTCCCTGTCCCTTTGTGTCCCCACAGTGTCCCTGCCTGTGACGGGGCTGCCTGGACCTCCATGTGGGCTTCTCCAGTCTGGGCAGGACTGATCCCACAGAGACAGGACTTGGCGATCCTCCTCTGCTGTTGCCCAGAGCCCCCAAGAATCCCCCTGTCGGGGTAACCAGGTGCCAACCTGCCCAGTCCGGTCCCCCATGCCAATACCGCAGTGAGTGTTTAAAAAGGTCCATGCCCCTTCTGACCCAGGATGCCCCCATGAAAAAGAACTGTCCAGTATCAGTGTGGTCAGGAATGAAAATGGGCTCTCGTGCCCTCGCCAGCTTTAGTGCCCCAGAATGTGCCCCCCCCCCGCCTGGATTCACCTCCCCACTCGGCCTGTCTGAGATGGTCTCCACCAGGCACGGCCCCAGTGCCTCCTTGGGCCATGCCCTGAGGGCCAGCATCAGATGCCCCCTCTCTGTAGGAACCCCCAGGCTCACGGTCCCCGGCAGGTGTCAGCCTCTTGCACACCCAGCTATGGTTGGGGCTCCTGGACCCACACTCTTCTGCCCCCCGCCATGTTCTGTGAGCCTGGGAGAGGATGGCCCTGGGGGGATGGCCAGTTGGCTGGGTGTTCCGCTAACACCTTTTCCCCACTCTCCCTCCCTCACTCCCACCCTCCGGCCAGCGGCCAGCGGATCCAAGAGAGGCTGCTGCCAGGATCTAGGTTGATATTTGGGGCTGCTCCCTGCTGCCCGTGTACCCCCAACAGGGGGCGCTCTCCCCCACCCCGCCTAACCATACTGCCTCTGTTCACAGAGTGGACCCTGAAGGTCCCCCAAGCCTGCATTCCCCAGGCCACCCTCTTCCTGTCTCCCACAGAGGGCTGTGGTGGCCACTGTACTCTCTCAGCATGTGGGATGGTGTCTGTGGGGCAGGAGAAAGAGTCAGCTTCCCGCCAGCACTCATATACCTTTGTGAAGGATCTTGGTATATGTGCGTGCATGCGTGTGTGCACATGTGCGGGTGTGTGTGCATATGTGTACACGTGTGTTTGCATGCCTGTGGGTGCATATGTGTGCTCATGTGTTTGGGTACATACGTGTGTGCGTGTGTGTACACATATGTCTATGTGCATGTGTGCATGTATCTGTGTGTATGCCTGCATGTGTGTGCATGCCTTTGCGTGCATGTGTGCACATGTGTGTGTGCTTGCCTGTGCATGCATTTGTGTGCTCATGTGTCTCTGTGTGTGTGTGTGTGTGCGCGCGCGCACGCAGTGGAATCACAGGGCATCTGGGCAGAAAGAATATTGCTATGCCCAAGAGATGGGATTTCACTGGCAGGCAGGCTCAGCTGGGGGAGGGGTTAGAGACCCCTGTGGAGGTGCTGGACTCCAGCGCCATTCCCAGTGCCCCATCCATTTCCTCCCCACCCCCGAACCCCAGAAGGATGCTGGAGGTCTCTTGTGCCTGCAGTGTTGGGGTGCCCAGCGGTGCGAGGGTCCTGTCCCCACCTTATCTCCTTGCCCTGGAGGTGGGGGGCAGCTCATTCTGCCCCCGAGAGTGGAGAGGGCAGAAGTGACCCTCCAGACTCTTGACCATCAGCGGTGAGCAGGCTCCAGTGAGTGCTGGCCCCAGAGTCCTGGGGGTGGGGAGAGTTGTCAAGTGTGTCCCGCAGTGGCTTCCCGATCCCCTCCACTTCCTGGCGTAGGTCCTAGGGGCTCCTGTGTGCAGCCCATCCCCATCCCCGTGTGCGATGCCAGTGGAGCCACTGGGGTCTCCACCCGCCCTGCTGGCTGCCTTACTCGACTCTCGAGGGCGCCCTCTGCTTCTTCCCCTCCTCCCGGCCAGGACCTGTGCCTTCTTGCTCCCCTGTACCTTCTCTGGCACTGGCGGGAATGTTCTAGAGCCAAAGGTCTGGAGGGCTATTTTTGGCTGCTCCTGAGAGCAGCAGGCGAGCCGCCAGAGGGGGGTTCTGTGAAGCCCAGATGCCAGGCCTGGGAAGAGAGCAGCCTGAAATCAGCCACGGTCCCCGTCCCCGCCCCTCGGCCTGCCCGCTCCCCCCAAATCTGCAAACCCTGCCCCTCCACATACAGCCCATGACCCCCAGGGCAGTCCAATAAGCACGGCCATGCAGGTCCGTCAGGGCTGACGCAGAGGTCAGGTCCCCTCAGCTGCTTTTCCCGGTCCTGTGCTCTATCAGCACCCACGACGCCAGGAAAGCTTGTGCTGCAGACCACTTTCCCCCCCACCCCACCCCTGGAACCTCTTCCTTAACCCCCCCCAAATCAGGAGCCCCCCGCCAGGCTGCACTGTGACCACGGCTAACTCCCCTCACCTCTCGGTGCCTTGGTTTCCCCATCTGTATGTGCAGAGAGAGGGAAGGTCAAGCCTCTTGCCCGCCGGCTCCGTGTTTCCGGGTGAAACTGTCATCTGGCCCCTGGTGAGGGCATGGCCTGAGGGACAGTGGTCAGTTGGACAGCGGCCCTGGAGCCCAGCCCAGCCCCCTCCTCCCGGAGCCCTTAGATCCGGCCCGCACTGTGAAGCCAGGACAGCGGCCTCTCGGCCAGGCTGCCCAGCTCACTGCCCACACCGCCCGCTCGTGATTTCAGAACCAAATGCTCAATGGTCACTTCCCCCAAGTGTGGGAGAGCTGGGACTCAGGGCCAGCCACAGGGAAGGGCCGTGGGGTTTCCCCATGCTGTCTGTGAGGCAGTTGGAAGGTCATCAGGCAAACTCTCCCCCTACTCCCCAGCCCAGCCCCTCTTCGTCCACCCTCCTTCCTCCCCCCTCCCCGCCTACTTCCTGCCCACCTTCTTTCTTTGTCACCCGCAGATGAACTTGCCTCCTGAGCCTCCGCAGAGCATGGCAGCCTCCGTCCCATTGACCCAACCCCGGGGTTCCCACCTGTGTCGCCCTGGCGTGTTTGGAGCAGGCTCTGGGGTCTAGGGTCCAGGGTGGGGGTGCTGGGGAGGATTTCCTGAGGGTTGAGCCAAATCAGATTTTTGTCTGAATTTGAATTGGAAATCTTCAGTTGAGTTCTTCTTCTTTCCTTTTTCCTTCTTACTATGGTTTGACTGTTACCAATCCAACTACTGATATACCCTTGAGTAAGAAGCAGTGAAGCAACGAGCGGCTCCGTGGTCAGCTGAGGGCTGGCCAGTGTGAGGGCAGGTGGGACTTGCGCAGACCCACCCACCCACTATCTCCAGGAGGGCAGCTGCAGGGCCTTTTGCAAAGT